GTTCAGGATATAGGGTTTAAGGTTTAGGGTTTAGGGTTTAGGGTATAGGGTTTAAGGTTTAGGGTTTAGGGTATAGGGTTTAAGGTTTAGGGTTTACGGTTTAGGGTTGTTTATAGCCCTAAGAATCGGGCCCCCCCAAACAACTTTTCCCGAACTTGATTAGGNNNCTGATCCGGACTTGTTTGGGGGGGGCGGGGTTTTATAATCCGAACCCCCCATTATGGTAGCTTCCATTTCCTTTTCCACTCCTTCATTCCTAGCTCACCAATGGTAAAGCTGAAGAACCTTCCACAGGAAGCTACTACTCGCAATGTAGGCCTCTGATGAAAGTTTCGTCCCGCACATCTAGGGGAGAACTGAGGATACGCATTTGAGGTGGGTGAAACCCCAACCCTGCATTGCACTGCATTCGGGCCTCGTTAAGACTTGCCCTCTGCCGCTCTTGCTGCCCGCCTTTCAGCAGAAACCTCCAGAGCAGAAAGCAATTCCACAAGGCTGATAACTGCAGTGAGCAACAACTCCCTTGAAGCAATCATTTCATCTGCCGTGGTAGTACTCCGCAACAGAACTTGGGCTAGCCGCACGCGAACACTACTTGTGCATTGTCATTCCTCAAGGAGTATTTCAGAAACACACCTTAACGACTATATGGAGTTGATGGGAAAGATTCTCAAAACAATGGGGCCATTCGATGGGTGCTTCACGAGCAAAATCATGTTTGGGCCATGAGATCCTAATTTAGGGCAATGCCATTCTGAGCCGGGTGCCTCGGAGTAGAGGGACAGATACTCGGCCAAGTAGCCAACCTCAGAAAGCACTAGACCAAGATCAAGAAAATGGAAAGCTTGAGGATGGGGATGGGATGGTTCGCAGCGCAGGGTTTAAGATATGGGGTTCCTTTTCTGGTGCTTCAGGGGGAGTTGCAGGGAGTGAACGTAGGTACTATCACGAGGGATTAGAGGGATTATGTTGGGACTATGATTGTAATCCACTCACCCTTAAGCACTAATTAGTGTTTTTTCTAGCATCCTGCAGATCGAATGTGAACTCACAATACCAAGCGGACAATTTTTTGATGTGATCCTAGCAGAGCCTTTTTCAAAGCTTGAACCACGCCAGCGTGGCGAATGTGAATACCAACATCAGCCGTTGCTGTTCATCCTGCTTTGAGACCCGCTGCAAAGAAAAAACAGACTTTTTTCGCACAATAGCAGCATTCATGGTTTTATTGTGCCTGTTATGCTACCATGGCCAGTGACAGCAGTCCAGAAATAGCAGTAGCCCTAGCAGCCGCTGTTGTAATGCTCAATCTTCATACTGCATCGACAGTGGCCTGCAGAAAACTACACGGTCTAGAAAAATGTTCCCTCGCAAAGCTATTCAGCAGAACGCATGTACAACCTTGGGACCTGTAAAACAGAGGCACACTGTCTGTCCAAACAGCATAGATCCTGAGCTCTCAACCCCTCAGCCCAAACACACGCAAAACTGCGATCAGCTGAAGGTCCATTTGCAGACATGCATATATCTATATATATATGTATATATATAGATAGATATATACACCCCTATACATACAGAACCCTTGCCCACACTAACTAGAATTTCAAGTCTGAACATGCAAGCCTGAAGCCTGAGCTTTCTACGGGGTCTTCGGGCTGCTCGCGGCAGACATCCACCAGGGCGCCAGTGAGCGCTGGGACCTTACTGACCAGGACTTTATCCTTCAAAGACTAACCGGGCTTACAGTTTTTACAGCTTGGGATTTTGATGTCAGGTTTGAGGCTGTGGGGTGTAAAACGGATTTGTGTAGGGCTCAGGTCTTAGGATCCACGCATTCATAATCCTTGGAGTAGATAGTAAAGCTCAGCAACGACTTCAGAGGTGTTAGCAGCATGAGATCGTACGGGTTCTGGAGATTATGAAAGGATTTGGGTCCTAAACAGCTCCAAATGTTCAAATCTACCCCAGTTTCCAGCAAGTAGTGTTGAATGCTCCCAAGCCCTGAACACCATACTTATCAGAAGATGCTTTGATATCACCTCACAGGCGTCCCCTACCCTCAAGATTCAACAGCTCAAAAGGGCTACAATACAGCACAGGGGCCTCCACGCTTGAGATACGTCTTTTGGGGGAAATGCCATCACCTGCTACCCATTTGGTCCCATACGGTATCGCACTTGGGCAAAAGACCTGGAAAAGCAAGCGCATGTTTCTACTGGGAGGGTCAGGGGAACTTAGTAAGTAGATTAATAACCCCTGTAACCCATGTAATAATCCTAGTTATGCCCCTCATTAACCTACTTACGAAGTCCCCCTGACCCTCCAAGTAGCTCATCCGGGCTGCTCAGCTAAGCATGCCTGCTGGAGAGCAAACTCTGGACCTCTCCAGAATTTTAGCCTCAATTATCTCACTGGGCATTTCTAGAACGACCAAAAGTAGATGGTTGGCTGTAGATACCAACCCCGTTTGGTCACGGCCCCCCCACGACCTCAATTTACATACCGCTTGGGTGCAGCCTGTTGTTACATACTTTTGTCGCGAATGCTTGGCACGTATATGTAAGCCTCCCAGAAAAGCATCGTCGCAAAGCTGCTTGCTACAAGCTAGCTTACAAGCCTATATCGCGGAATGGCCGCCCAAGCCTGTTACAAACCCAGCCGCCATTGTGTGCATGGGAGAGAGGATGGGGATTCTGCACTAGTCCTCTACACACTTCGAATCCCAGCGCCTGAACCGCTGACAAGCTGAGGCCAAAGCAACAAATTTCATGAGATAGAGGCGAAGGGGCTCTGAATGTTTCTCCAGGCGCGCCTCGAGGAAGCAAAAGAAGGTTTTGGAGGGCAGGGGCCTGTCAGAGGATTCAGATTAGTAAGCACTTGGGGTGAAGTGAGGTTGATGTAGGGTTTCGCGTGTAGCGAAGCGGAGAATTCCGAGGCAATGTGTGGGTTCATGCCAACGGCACACTGAGGAGTTCAATCCGAAACTACCTTATAGGGGCTGGGCCGTACACTTGTTCCTTTGGACAAAGAAAGGGAGTAGATGCTTTTAATACGCATTTATGCACTATTATTGGCCTCGTCAGAGTCACCCTTGTAACAGATCGGCCATGTCAAATGGCACAAATCCATGTCTGCAACTTCCACAGGGGAAGAATGAAGGACACAACGCTAAGGCCGCCACCAACTCCTCTTTCTTCACATGCTCCTCAGGCATGGCTTTCATCTGAAATGCCATTGGGAGGTTACGGCTTCCCCCTTCCAGATGCGAACAAGTTTGAGGCCTCCTTTTTTCCTTGCGTCAAGGGTCGTGTTTCAGAACAAGGTGCCAAAGAATCGACAGGGAGGATAAAAGAAGGCCAGCGTAAATCAACTTGCTGATGGTGGCAGCCACAAAAGCGTGTGGGCAAGTCATCTAGAACCTTCATGCGAACCGTTTACGCAGAGCTTGGAATACCTATAGGTTCGAAGCAGAGACAATCATTTGCATCAGCCCCTTAAAGCCCAGGCAAACCAGAGCTGGCACTTCGAGGCCAGGGCGGCTTACCATTTTTTTAAAGAGACCATCCTCCTGGCTGCTACTTGCCCTTCTGAGCAAGAGCACCTTGCTCCAAGTATCGATGGCGTGAAGCATGACCAATGTTGCAATCGATAAATCAAGCGCAGCCAGTTTTAGGGGGCGTGCGTAGCTAAAGTGAGAGTTCATGTATCTGCGCGAAAACCTGACCCCACATGCCCTTTAATAACAAGGCAGCCCATGTCCTACGGGCCCCTATTGTTTTAAGTTTCGAGCCCTAAACTCACAAACCCAAATCCTACCCCCTAGGAACTAAATCCCAAATCCCGAAGACTAAGTCCTGAACCTGAACCCTTAAACCAACCTTAAAATCTCAAGGTCCAAGCTCTAAATCCTCAGTCTCAACCCCCAACAACTTCTTGCAGGTTGGGCCACCACTCGCTGCTCATGGCGTAGACGTTCCTTGAAACCACAAGTTTCAGAGTCTGAGGGTTTGGGTGTCCAGAATTTAGAAATCAGTTTCAGGGTTTACGGTGGCACGGGTAAAGAAGCAATGCCAGACCAACATGCTGAAAGAGACCGCCGCAAGTAAAGCCTGCCCGATCGAATCTTCATAAACAAAGCTGTGCAGAGTCTTCAGTAGAGGTAATCCCGAAACCCGAAGCACGCGACCGGTGATGCCCCGAGAATAATCATACCAGCTACGTCTCCTGCTTAGTACCCTACTACCGTCGCCACGGCAACAAAAAGCCGCCATGACATTACGACGATAACCAACTTTGCTTTTGCTGGGTTGCTATTAAGGAACTTAAATTAAGTTACTATATTATCCCCCTATAATGGAGAATCAAATGGAAAAGAAAATGGAAAATGAAATGGCAGCTGGGGGACTATAGGGATTTAAGGAGCT